TGGCTCCCCCACCCGGACAGTAAACCCAGCATGTGAGTGTGGCTGGCTCAATAAATACCTGCCACATGAATGTGTGAGAGGGAGAGGGACCAGGACACAGAAGTGTGAGCAAGAACAGCCCCAGGAGGGAGCACAGAAACATGCCACAGTAGCCAGAGACAGACAGACCTAGTGTGCTTGGAAACACTGAGCCAGGACCGGGACCGGAAACTATCCTGGCCTTTCCGGAAGTTTTGCAGCACCATTGGTCTCCTCTGGGGGTGCTGACCAGAGATGTGAGTGGACTGCAGCACCCAGAGGGCCGCCCAGGTGCCCTGTGCTGGAGCCCTTCCTGCTTGGGGAGAAGATGCCCACAAAGAAGCCATGGAGACTCCTGCATGGAATGGTTCTATTGCAGCAAAATTTGACCTCTATTCCTGGATCTCAGCTTAAAGGTTTAATCAGATTCTATAAGATTTAATCTAAGCAAATGAGATTCTTCCTTAAAATCAACCTTCCAGTCCTCAGGCACTGGCTCAGCATCTTTCGAAGTTGTGAGAGCCCAGCCCAGCGCGGTGGAAAAAGCACTGAGCAAGACAACAGGAGGCCCAATTTTCACCTCTCTACGCTTCCTTTTCCTCTTTGCAGAAAGCAGAGAATTGGATCATGACTCTGAGATCCCTCCCCCTGAAAAAAGGCTATAATTCTGCAACTAAACCTTTTAAAAGCTGAAGTTGCCCTTTAAGACCCTCAAGTAATTTTCTACATGGTGAACAAAAAACCCTATTAGCTAACTTTTATAAAACGATTCCTATGTTCCCTAAGAGCCAAGCTGTTTTCATGCATGGCCCCATTTACATAGGTGGGAACCAGACCAAGAGATAGCAAGTAATTTACCCAAGGTCACACAGCTGGTAAATGGTGGAGCTGGAATTGGAGGCCAAACAGAATGTATGCCTCTGATTATTAATCTGCCCCACCCAGAGGCCCAAACAGCAGGGATTACATGACCACTCGGGCATCTGAGCCAACGTGGTGAGTCAGAGGTATTAACACCAACCTGTCTTGCTGAAGGCGGGTAAGAGTGTGCTGCTGAGTCTTCCTGCAGTAGAATTCGATATAAACAGACAAGAGGTGTCAGGAAAACCCAATCAACAGCAACAGGGTGTTTCTGTTACGTAAAGGCTCGGTGACTCGGGGAGATTTTGCTTCTGCCCACAGCTTCAAGTTAAGCTCAGCAGAAGGAAGGAGGCAGGCAGGATCTGCTCACCACAGGAGCTGAGGTTTGCCCAGGCTCCAAGCGCTCTCCAGGCTGCTGGGATCAGAGCAGACAGAGCCCAGTGTTCCGACCACAGCCTCCAGTGCCCTGGCCTCGCATCTGCAGCCCTCAAATGCAGGGACAGGGAACTCAGGTGTTGGGACAGGCAGACAGACAGCAGCAGTGGGTGGAGCCGGAGGATAAGGACTACAGCCAATTGCCTTACCTGTCACCCGCTCCACTCAAAAATGAATGGGTAGCCAAGTGCAGTGGTACACACCTGTCATTCCAGCACTCTGGGAGACTGAGGCAGGAGGATGACAAGTTCAAACCGAGCCTGGAAAGATGGCCATTTAGTGAGTCTTTGTCTCAAAAAAGGGGGGGAGGGGCTGGGATGTAGCTCAGTGCAAAGGCCCTGAGTTCAATCCCTAGTACCAGAAAAGAAGGAAGAATGGATAACTCATACTTTATCCCAAACTTTGCATGAAATACGTGAATGCTTAAATATTGGAAATCAGTTTTTTAAAGTTTCTTAAACCCATATCAGGGCAAACAGTGCACATACACATGAGTAGGCTAGAAACAGACAGAGGGTCCCTCTGCCGTCCCTGTTTCCCATTTCACCTAGAGGAGGCTTCTCAACAGTGGACTAAATAGTTGAATGTCACAAAGCTTTTTCCTCTAATACTGTACCCACTGCTCCTTCAGTGGATGCAGAGTCGAGACTATTCTATAACTTCTAGATTGTTCCCTGCCTCAGTCATCTCCTCTGTGAGATCAAAGCCATACAGACAGCTCCACAGGGACAGAGCATGGCTGGAGGTGAGCACCAGAAGGGGGCTCCACCAGAGGCTTTGAGGATCCTGGTCCCTTTTAGGAGATGGGGGATCCTGATCAGAGCACCAGGTTCCAGTTGAGGGAACCAAACAGAAAGGAGGTGTCCCCAAAACTCCCACCCCGCCTCTGAGACCTTTGAGGCCTTGGACTTCCTCTGCTCTCTCCGTGTCTAGGCACCCAGAGAAGGGCAAAGTGCTGTGGTGACCACCCATCAGGGGGAAGGGCTCTCTCCAGCCCAAGAAAGGCTGAGCCAGGTTCCCTCTGCTCTGGGAAGACCCTGGGATCGCCAACACCTCACACACTGAAAGGGAATCACTATCTTGAGCAGGACACCAATGTCTGTGTTTCTAAGACCACAAACAAACCTCAGACCTCGAAAGCTGCAAGCAGATATTCAAAAGAACATGACTTTGTTTTAAACCCTGGTTCTTTTTAAAGCAAGTGAGTACACTTCACCTATGTGGAACTTGGCTGTCTGGACACTTCACAGGCCTCTTTGACTTGAGCTTCGAGGTAACGCTTATGAATGTCATTTCCTTCATCTATGAAATGAGGATAAGAAGTCCCTGCCCTGCCTACTAGACAGAACTGCTGTGAGGTTCAAATGAAAAAATAATGCATGAGATGCACTTTCCAAACCCAGAAGTAGTTCAGAAATGCAAATTGTGATTATTTTAAGCTTTTACATAGCTGAGAATGAAGACTTCCACCCCCCCAAAGCCCTATGAAAAGCCCAATAGTTGTCATAAATGCCATATGTTAATGCATATCATTTATAGGAGAACATTTCAGGACATTTGCTTTGGGCTTATTTACTCTTGCTCTAAACACAATTTCAACAAACTTCTTTTCTGAGTAGAGAGAGATCAATTACAAAAGGGAGTCACTTTCTCATTGCTGGAATAAAATATCTGATACCTACAACTTAAAGGAGGGTTTTATTTTGGCTCACCATTTCAGGAGTTTCAGTCCATAATCAGCAAGCTCAAATGCAGAAATAGCATGGTGGAAGAGTCTGGCAGAGGAAGCTACCCACATCATGGCAGCCAGGAAGCAGAGAGAGAGAGTAGGGAGCAGTTGAGGTGGGAGATACACCCTTCTGGATCATGCCCCCCGTGACACATCTCTTCTGACCAGACCCCACCTCCTAACAGCACACTCAGCCACTGAACTAACCAGTGGGTGGATCCACTGATGAGTATAGCACCCCACAATCCAATGCATCTTGCAAACACAGGAAGCTCTGGGGGACAACCCAGATCTAAAACATAATAATATTGTTTATAGGAAAATATTTCAGGCCTTTGCTTTGGGGCTATTTATTCTTGCTCCACATAATTTCAACAAACTTGATTTCTAAATAGAGAGATCAATTACAAAGGAGAGAGAAGCTGTCTGAGCCACTCAGATAACAGTCTGAAATAAAAATTGCCTAATAACTATACATAATATTATACATATATATGATTAAGTAAAGCCCATTCTTTATTCATATATTCTTAGTTTTTGCCTAATCAGGTAAAAACAGGATCCCATTTAGGAAGTCACATCACTTTTCATTGTTGAGTCTTCCCCTTTCCATATTGTACTCTTTGGGAGGAAGGCGATATGCACAGCCCACCCTAAAGAGTGAGGTGTTTTGTCCCACCTCCAAGGGGGAGAGAGTGTCTATATAAATTATTTGGGATTTTCCTGCAAAAGGAATTTCTCTTTTCTTTTTTCTTTTCTTTTTTTTTTTTTTGGTACCAGGGATTGAACTCAGGTCCTTCCAGTTGCGAGGCAGGTGGTGGAACCACTGAGCTAAATCCCCGGCCCTCTCTTTTCTTTTCTAATTTATTTACTTATTTATTTATACCAACATGGACCCATGGATGTTTATTTATTGTACACTTTATGATTAAGTTGTTCACATTGTTCCCATTTTGACCACAGAGAGTTCTTTTAGTTGATTCCTGTGTCTTTTTGTCATATTCCCATCAATGTGAAGTTTGGAAGGGTATAAAGCATTGCCTTACTTTCTGACATTACAAGATTCTCCAGGCTTATCTGGTACATTTCCTGTCCCAGTTCTAGAATCTGCCATTTCTCCAAGGGCTCATGGTTCCCTTCATGGAGAACTTTGAGTACTAAGTGTGCTCATTGCTACTAAGATGTCATTGCTTCCAGAGCCTCTCAGGTGATAAAACATGTATCTATGTATATGCAGATATCTATAAATATTTCTATAGGTAACAACCAGCCTCTATGTTAATTTGAATGAGTTCATACATGTGTCTCCAACTCTAATCCTTTATGATGTGGATCATCCCAGCCTCCTCCCTGCCTGTCTCATTCCAACACCAAGAAATTTGGCCCCCATCATCTGCCATTGAAATACTTAATTGTTCCATTCTTGTATGTGTGTATAGTAGTGTAGGGATTGTTAACACATATTGTCTTAGAAAACAACTTTATCCACTATATTACAGGACCTATTTGCAATTCCTATTTCCTTAAGGCAATAGGAACTCCACTTGCCTTAGGGACTCCACTCATTTCTGAAGTAATTAGGTCAGCACCTTTTACTCATATTCTCTTCAGTTCGGTTTTTCATGAATTTGTAAGATAGATTCTTTTGTAACAGTCTGCATTCTACCCTGGGTGGTCCAACTCCCTAAATGATTTTTTTAAAGTTCAGATACTATTACGTCTTCTGTCTAGATGTCCCCCCATAGCCTCATGCAGTCTTAGGTGGGGCTTTTTCAGAGGTGGCTGAATCTAGAGAGTGTGATTGATTCATGGTGCAATGCTAGGCCAGAGGGCCCTAGGATTAAGGGTGTGAGTGCTACCTGCCCTAAGTAGTCTGAATTAACTCAAAGGGGTAGAGAGACACTGTCTCTTGCTTTTGCTAACTTGTGCGTGCCACAAACTGTCATTCTTCTTCTAGATGCCCCTCTGCCATGTGCCACTATGCCTTGGAGCCAGCCAAGATTGAAACTTCTATGAATCGTAAGCTAACTAAACTTTTCCTCCTTTAACTTTGGGTGTCAGGTATTTTGTATCAGCAATGACAAAAGTAACTAAGACAAGTACATTAAAGTTCATTCTTTATGTCATAAAGTCCTATGGGTTTGACAAACATATAATGTCATATGTCTACCATTATAGTATCATACAGAATATTTCCATCATCCTAAAAAATAACCTGTGATTCACCTGTGCAACTCTTTCCCCTCTACCCAAATCTCCAGCAACCAGTGATCTTATGTTGTCTCTATATCTATAGTTTTGTCTTTCCAATTGGAATTATATAGTTTGTAGCCTTCTAACACTGGCTTATTTTGCTTAGCAGTATTCATTTAAGTCTCCTCCGTGTCTTTCCTTGGTTTGGAAGCTCCTTTCTTTTTATTGCTGGACAATATTCCATTATATAGGTTACCACAGTTTGTTTATCCATTCATCTACTGAAGTACAAATGCTGGTTGCTTCAAATTTTTAGTGGCTATAAAATTCCTATTAACTTTCACATCCAGGCTTTTATGTAGATATAAGTTTTCAGTTCATTTTTAAAAAATACTTAGAAGTATAGTCACTGGATCACATGTAAGACTATGTTTAGCTTTGTAAGACACAACTAAATTCCTGGTGTGGAGGCACACATCTGTAATCCCAGCACTTAGGATGCTGAGGCAGACAGGATGGTTGCAAGCTCAAGGCCAGCCTGGGCTACATAGTGAGACGCTGTTTCAAAAAGCCAAAAGAAAAGAAGCAACCAAACTGTTTTCCAAAGTGGCAACACCGCTACCATGTGAATGAGGGTTCCTGTTGTTTCACATTGTCACCAACCTTTGGTATTGTCAGGTTATTTTATTTATTTATTTATTTAGTCATGGTTTTGCCATTCTAATAAATATATATCTCGTTGTTAAATTTGCAATTTCCTAAAAACTAATTTTTAATAAATAACATTGAACATATTTTCATGTTTGTTTGACATCAGTATGTCTTCTTTGGTGAAATGTCTGCTTAGATCAAGAACTGTTGAGTTCTCTTATCTTATTGCCAAGCCCAACATCACTTAGATTTTCTCCAGTGTTTGTTCTAGAAGTTTTATATTTTTGAATTTAATATTTGCATCTGTGATCCATTTTGAGCTAATTTTTCTAAAACACGTAAGGTATGTATCTAGAGTCTTTTATTTTTTGCATTGGACATCCACTACTTGTTTTTTTTTCCCATTAAGTTTATTGATACATTTTAGGTATAAAATACAGTTACATTCATCATTGGGATCTTGTACCTTTACATGAGTCTCTTGGTTCTTATTTTTTTCCCTTTCCCCTGCCCTCCCTTCACCCCCTCCACCCTTCCTTATTTGGAAAGACTTTGTTCCCATTTTTTTCCTTTTCTCAAATTGTTTCTTTTCCCTTTTTCCTTTCCCCTACCCCTCCCACTTCCCCTGCTCCTTTAGACCTTTACTTCCTGTTACACAATATCAATTATACATTTTTTAAATTACAGTATCAAGATCTAGGAGACATTACCACAGATTTT